GAGCCACTGCGCCCAGCTCTCTCTGCAATTTTAATGAGTGGAAAAAGTACGTTAATCTCTGCCATCTCCTTAGTGTGTCTTCTTTTTATTATTTCTTTGCTGAAATAATGTAGAATTGTGGTTTTTAGGTAAATATTGCAGATTTTCAAGAGAATCAGTGGGTGACTTGTTTCCAGGAGTCTGCTGAAGCTATCCTTGGACAAAATGCTGCCTATCTTGGAGAATTAAAAGACAAGGTCAGCCACACATTTTATTATAACTGTTGATGGTTCTCATGCTATAACACTGACCCCCTTTTTGCGGTTTTATATTTTTTAGTTTGTTTCTTTTTTGGTACTGTATACAGTTTCTAAGTCTGATAATTATTTATGAGCTCATCTGATTTCATCTAATTTTGTCCATTTTGGATGTGCTTAACCATGAAATAACATGTATAAAAGTACTTTAAAACCAAAGCACTTTCTAAGTCTAAGCCTCCCATTTCTCCTGTTGCGATTAGTGCATCAGAGCTAGTGTGCCTGAGATTGCTTAGATCGGGAGGCGTCATCTGAAGTAACCTAAATTACAGGCATGCTTTTTAACACAGTAAATACCTTCCAGAGAAGTTGAGTCAGATCCTGGTTGAAATGCACATATATCAAGTTCCTGAGTCTGTCCTACAAAGTAATACTAATAAATGCACATCTAAGGAGCCTGCCATTTCAGGCCATCACATGCAGTTCTGATGAAGTGACTTTCTTCCATAACATCACTTTGTCCCTTTCGTTTTTATAAATTTGCATTTTCACACATCAGGTTTATTTAATGCACAGAATAGATTGCCATTGATGCCGAATTTAGGAAAGACAGTTGCTCAGATAAAACATAAGGAAGACCAATCAAAGCTATATTTTCTGGGCCACATAAATGGGCACCTGTCTATAGGTGGCTCTTCCCCCCGATTTCCTCCAAATTGGCTGGAATACTTGTAAAGGCCACAAAGATGAAAGGCTTTGCCATTTGTTCTGGTGTGTTTTTCTTGTTCTTTCCTGTCCTCGGTTCCGTCTGTTTGGGCTCTGCCCCAACGTTTTAAATTGTCCGTGAGATCTCTCAAAATAGTTTTAACAAATCCTGTTACAGAAATAACTGGAATCGACTTTAAAGTGTGATAGTATCTTTTGTCTGTTTTTGCCTGGTCCTCAATTTTCCTATCAGATTTTAAGGCTGGAGTCAGCCTTTCAGGCTTTTTATGGACTTATATTTGACTGTTCTTACTGCCGGTGAAGGAGGACGTACAGAAACTTCCCTGAGGGACCATGAGATCTCGCAGCATGCACACCACGCCCCTCATCTTGGAAGTAAAATGGCAGCCGGCATACTTTTCTCAAGGTTTAACCCACTGTTTTGTTTTTATATCTGAAAGTCCACGGGATGCATTTGGTTTTGGTCTGGACCAAGTAACCTTTACAGAAAAGAGTTCTGTTCAGCAAAGCTGCTTTCGTGCTGTGTGTGACTTGCAGAAATACCAGGCTGCTATATCAACTATTAATTTCTTTTTTTTTTGGTCAAGGGTCTCAAGTACAAAGAACTGTGTTAATATAGTTGTTACACATTTATGTATGTATCTTTATACAAAGTATATTCTCTGATTTCTGTTTACTAGATATCTCTCTCTTTTTAATAAAGAAACTTAAGTTGCATGTGAAGAGTGAGAGGGCAAAGGACTGTATCTAGGCGTTCCCCAGCCTTAGTTCACTTCAGCAGTCTTCTCTGCATGCACACCGAATCAGTAGCTAGAAATAGAGGCCGAAATTGTGAATTACACAATAGCTGGAACTTCTTCTGCGTGTTTTTCCTCTCTCTTTTTTTGTGAGACAATCAAGGTCTTGCCTTACCACCTAGGTTGGATCATGGCTCACTGCTGCTTCAAACTCCTGGATTCAGACAGTCCTCCCACCTCAGTCCCAGAGCTGCTAGGACCACCGGCACATGTCACCATACCAGGCTTATTATTATTATTATTATTTGGTAGAGATGGGGTCTTGCTGTGTTGCCCAGGCTGATCTTGAACTCCTGGCCTCAAGCAATCCTCCCACCTTGGTCTCCCAAAACACTGGGATTATAGGCATGCACCACCACACCTGACC